TTTATAACCATAAAGTTGAGTACGGTGTCATTTTTGTGTCGGTGCAAGTGGGAAGCTGGCTGTGCTCCATTCACAGAGCAAAGGATTGAAAGTCCTTCTTTGCCAGGGAGAAGCTTCTCCCTTTACACCCAGTCACCTTGGGAGCAGCAACCAAACAGCTGGTCAAGCAGCAACTGAGAAGCCTCTCACCTGCACTGGCCTCTACCACAAAGCCAGTATGGACGAGATGCTTCTTAGCTGCTGCTCAGCGACCTGCTCAGTTGCTGCTCCCAGGGTGATCAAAGGGAGCAACGACCAAGCATCTGGTCAAGCAGCAACTAAGAAGATGCTCACCTGTGCCTGCCTTTGCTACAACACCAGCATGGGCAAGAGGCTTCTCATTCACTACATGACCAGCTGCATGATCACTACTCAACTAGCTGCCTTGTTGCTGTTCCTGTTGCACCTGGTCAGGCTGGGAGCAATAAGCAAGCAGCTGGCCAGTCAAACTTCCTTTTGTTGTAAGGCAAGAGGAAGGAACAGGCCTGAGCTGCTGTCCCTGCTATATTTGCACATGAGAGGCAAAGGCAGTAGTGAGTTGGGTGCTGCTGATCTACACAAACAGTAGATTTAATATCAACAGAAAGGTATTGTGGGGTGCTAGGGACATCACCCAAGAGAAAATGGGGTGGTAGCCTGAAATCATTTATTGTACGATTGAACTACAACAACTCGGAAAGGTGGATGTCAGGACTCTGCTTAATTACCGTATATCCAGAAAAAAGAGTCCACTCTAGCCAGAGAGAAAAAAGTGAATACAGATCTTGTAAGATCATTGACTTTGTATGTGACCAGGGTAAAAAAACAAAAAAAAAAAAAACACCCTAAGATGCCTGTCTGAGTCCTGAGTGTACCTTCTGTACATCTAAGGAGTACAATCTAATCACACATTCTACTTGCACAATAATCTAAGAATCAGTGATTTTGATAACTGAAGTTTTAGTAATGTTGCACAACCATCTGATCACTGTAAGTTTGAGCTATAACCAAAAAAAAAAGAAAGAAAAAGACTGCATAATACAACTTTGGTCCAAGCTACCATACCTGAGGGGCCATATTCTCCAATATGAGCCTGTCTGAGACTTAAGATCAGGGGTAGGCAACCTAAGGCCCGCCGCCGCCCGCCATGATGATATTGATTATTGTTGTTATTACTTATTCTTGGGGTTTTCTTGGCAAAATCTCCACAGGGGTTTTGCCATGGCTTTTCTGGTGCTGAGAGAGCGTGCATGCATATTTTTATTTTATTTTTTTTATTTTTTTAATTTTAAAAAGTATTTATTTATTTATTTATTTATTTTTGGTGCTTCGGCCCCCCAATTGTCTGAGGGACAGCAACCCGGCCCCCGGCTCAAAAAGGTTGCCTACCCCTGCTTAAGGTCTTCAGAAGGTGCACATTTAGTAAAGATGAATGACAAGGCTTTCTGGGTGGCTTTTCCTGGGCTTCAGAGTTCTTCCCTGTTGTTTTTCCACCAATAGTCTTTTAATTCAAACATTTCTTTTGCAACTGATGCGACTTGCTGGAGAAGTGGCTTTTAACTGGGTGAGTGGGGCATACACTCCAACTGTCCCAATTTAGCAGCCCCTATTTATCCTCTGCCATCCCACATTTTCAGCTGTTTCATTTTTTAAAATGTCCCAGTTTCTCTCTCTTCCTCCCAGTTCCCCCCATTGTACTTACTTCTGTGGCTACATTGAACTTACTTCAATTGCTGCAAACTGAGTTCAAAATATTAATTCAGCAGGAGAGACTGGAAAGGGCAGAATCTTGCCCTTCCCTGTAGCCTTAGGCAAAACCAGCCTTTCCTAGCATGTTTTTTTTTTCTTATTAATAACCTTTCCCATCTTGACCACACTCTTATGTTGCTTGGCCACATGTGTCCCAGTTTTCATCTGTGAAATATTGGAAGGTATGGGTGGTGTATTATGTTTTATTGATGTACTTTTAAATTGTGTTTTAAACATGATTTTATTATTTACTTTTTATTCTTTTATTATACTTTTTATTTTATTCATTTTATGTTTCAGTTATAGTTGTATTTAAATTGTTAGCCTTGATTCCCATTATGGGGAAAAGGTTGGAATAGAAATCAAACAAATAAATATATAGCTTCCAGATATTAAAACACAATCTGCAGCGGTTGAAATATTCTATTGGCAATAAGACTTCTTTCACCCAAGCATCCGAATAAGCTATTCATCTATTTTGATCTCCCCTGGGTCAGTTTTTCTTATTTTCTTGCCTTGCCCCAGAGTGCCTATTGGATTTAATTTTGTCTATTATTTAATTTCTAGTTTTAACTGAGTTGGTATTTAATGTATTTTAATAGGAGGTAAATTGTGTTAGTTTACATTGGTTCATTGTTATTGTAATGGTTATTTTATGTATCTGATTTTAGATGTAAGCTGCCTTGATGGCCAAGGCTAAAGGCAGGGTATAAATAAATTATTATTATTATTATATATTATTATGATAAGATTATATCACAAGGGAAAACCAAGACTATGAGTGCTAGACTACCTCTGATTTTGATACATGGTATTGTTACATGTAAATGAGATTTCCAAAGTAAGAGTGTGTTGCTAATATTTGTTTTAGTGTATAAATTATTGAGAACCTATGTAGTGTCGAGGTTTGAGCATTGGACTATGACTCTGGAAACCAGGGTTTGATTAATGGAGCCATGGAAACCCTCTAGGTGAACTTGGTGAGTCACATATTCTCACATATTCTCAGCCCCAGAGAACACTGTGATAACCTTAGGGTTGCCATAAGTCAAAGACTTGGAGGAGTACAATAAAAATGAATTATTACAGATTTTACCTGTCATTTAACAAGCTTCTTGGAAGTCTTGTATAATACAAACATGTTTAACACAACAATGGAGGCTGGGTACCTATGTTATTGTACAGAACTATAGAAGCTTTTGTTGCAGAGATCAGTCTCTAGGGTGGAGCTAAGTGAGAGGCATAAAAAAGAACAAACTCTGCAAGCTGCTGGGGTCTCCTGAGAACAATGATGAAAGCTATTAACCTTATCTATGATACTTTCAGCAGATGGTGGAAATGGATCAATGTATTGAAGTGGAGGGACTAGTGGAGAAATAACCATTAATAAACACTCTTTCATAGCTAAATCCAAGCAACCCCATTCAGATTACAGTTTATGATTTGCTACATTTGGATAGACTTCCAGTCTTATTCAGCAGGCTGAAACTCTGTGGGCAAAACATCAGTTTCCTGTTTATGGACTCCCAGTAATTTCAGTGAATCAGCATCTAATCCACCACATATTCTGAGATTTACATAGCATATGGCTTTTTTGGATATTGTATTATTCATTAGCAGCTAGCCGTGACCAGTTATTTCCTGGTTAGATTCATTCTGACCTTACTTTTGCTGACATTCTTAGACAAACAGACTGTCTTTCATAGGCACCCTCCAGATGTAGTGGACTACTACAACCACTCCTACCCAGCATGACCCGTGATGATCAGGGCCCCCGCAAGATATTTTGGTGTCTGTGATGAAGCAGCAAATATTGCTTAATCTCACTTATACAAATCAAGTTGCACAGTACCCAAAGCCAGCCAGGTTGTTTTGGCACCTGAGCCAAATAATCCTACAAGCAACTCTTCCTCTACTTGGCAGTAAAAATGCAAGAATAAGAAATTCATTCACTAACAATTTGCTGCTCTTTCACAACTCTCAAAATCTGATGCTCAAGGTCTAATAGTAGGGCTGCCCCTGCCAGTGCTGGTGCATAAAAATGTCTATTTCATAAAAACCTTTCCCTCTTGATTGGCAACTGTGTAATGCAGGGTTCCAGAAATGAAGATGGATAATCATATCATCATGATCTTCCTCCTAGCCTCACTTGAAGGCATAAATCTATTAGCCAATGTTGGAACTTGCCCTAGTTTAAGACTGTGCCTGAAGCAATCATTCATGTATGTCTTATCACACAGTTGTTGGTTGGACACACCAGAAACCTACCCACACAGTGTTTCATGATCAGCTGATGTTACAACCAAGTCACTCTCATGAGATTGTTCTGATTATCTGCAGTCACCTGACAGGCTTGTCAGCCAAATTCTTGCATACTGACGTCAGATTGTGCTTGCTTCTTTACAGAGAAATGGAAAGATTAGTAACACACTCCAACTAGAACATTCAAGATAGAATCTGTTGTTGCTGTTGTGTTCCTTCAAGTAGTTTCTGACTTATGGTGACCATGGGCTTTTCTGAGGCTGAGAGTGTGTGATTTGCCCAAGATCATCCAGTGGGTTTCCATAGCCAAGCAGGGATTTGAACCCTGGTCTCCAGAGTCATAGCCCAATGTGCAAAGCACTACACCACACTGGCTCATTAAGAACCTATAGTAACACAATCTGGATATGTTGGTGATATTTAGTTCCATTGAGTAAGAGGTTACAAAATATTTCACAGGATGTCTGGTATTGGATTAAATGCACTGGTAAGATAAGTAAGAAAACGTCTCATTCTTCAGGCATGATGCTCTTGAAATGTCTGGAAAGGATTAACATTCCCTGCAGCTTTAAAGCATGAATGCTCCATCTGTAGTAAGCTGAGTTATACATTTGGTAAACTGCATTGTACCAAGCCAAATACTGAAAGGCATAATAATAATAATTGGTTTAATTGTCCATGAACTAGTGTAGCACACGCACATTAATTCATGATGCATCCAGTGGCTGTAGGCCTCAGTAGTCATAAATGACATTCCTGTAATATAGATTCAGCTGTGACTGTACACACACTGGTTTGTGTTAACAAGCTAGAATGATGCCCTATGAAAAAATAACAACTGGGACAGATGTGGGGCATCTTGCTGCCACTTAACTGTAATTCTCTCTCTATATATATCTCTGTGTGTGTAGAGAGAGAAAGAGAATAAGAGAGACAGAGCACTGCTTACACATACCCGCACACACTGCATATATGGTCGGCCCTCCGTATCCAAAGATTTTTATCCACAGATTCAACCATCCATGGCTTGAAAAAACAACAACAACAACACACACACACACACTCCAAAAAGCAAAACTTGATTTTGCTATTTTATATAAGGGACAGCATTTTACTAGCATGCCATTGTGTTAAATGAGACTTGGACATCCATGAATTTTGGTATCTATTGTGTGTGTGTGTGTGCGTGCGTGCGTGCGCGCGCCGTGGAACCAAACCCCAGGGAATATCAAGGGTCCACTGTACTTAGCCATCTACTTGCTAAATACTGTAAATAACTAAATCAGTTTTGAAGAATATGCTGATCCAGTATTTAATGAGTTGTTACAGTGATAACTTAAACCTTCTGCCTACCAGCTGCCTGGGACAATGTACAATTAAAAAAAAATCTTTAAAAGCAAAAAACAACACACCAGCCACACACACACACACCATCCACAACAACGGCCATATAACAAAATAACGATGACTTGATGACATTGCTCCTTGGTGTACTGCTGATACATCTCAAGTGGTGAGGAAATTGTTGCCTGAACAGTAAGTTGCCTTTATTTGGGTACTATGCAGAATTTACAAATGTGACTTTTTCAAGAGAGAAAAAAGCTCACAGAATCCTCCAGCCAGCACAGATATATGGGTGGAAGCATCATTTTCTCTTCTACTTCAGGCACCAAAGTGTCATGGATTGATCTTGATAGCAGAATATTGCTGGGTAAGATGCAGCAGTCCCTGCCATTGGCAATGACACTTAAGGCATTAGACCATGCTTGGAAAGGCTGTAGTGCTTTCTTCACGGACTTTCTTAATTTTTGAAGGGAACATATTGCCACAGCTGTAAATCTCATCTCTTTTATGAATGTAAATGAGGAGAAGCCTACTGGTTTATTTCTGAGCTGGCTCTTTCTCATTGAGGGGGAAAATGTTTTCCTCTGTAGACAGTTGAAGGCAGTCAATGCTCTATTTGCTCCTGTGATCTGAGCCTCCAGCATCTATTGGCCAAACTTGTCATAATAGACTGACCTTCGGAGATATAATTAGAACTAGATTCCATAAACCTAGCCAAATTCTTGTCTTAACAGACCGAAAAAGGAAGAAAGAAAATAAACATACACAGGCCTTCATGATGTAGTCTTACACATAACTGTTCAAAAGTAAACTCCAGTTGTGTTCAGTAGGACATACTTCCCAGGTAGGTATGAAATGAACTGTAGCTTTAAGAATGTGATCTCATGAACATCAGCTTAGAAGCAGATGTTTTCAAAGAGCTTGCTTACTAGTATGAATTCACAATTGCAACCTACATCTATGTAAATCACCATAATTTACAAATGGTATCTCCAGCTTGCTCTTGACCTGAACATTAATCCTTTTATTTCACTACTGCACTGAAGGCATCATTTAAGGCAGTGGTTCTCAACCTTTCTAATGCCGTGACCCCGCAATACAG